CTGGCACAGTCACACAGGCTCACACACGCTGGTGGGTTCACACACGCTCACACACGCTGGAATGTTCACACCGGTCACACACGCTCACACACGCTGGCACGGTCACACAGGCTCACACACGCTGGCATGGTCACACTGGTCACACACGCTGGCGCGGTCACCCAGGCTCACACACACTGGCATGGTCACACCGGTCACACACGCTCACACATGCTGGCGCAGTCACACAGGCTCACACACACACCTTGAACTCATTTCGGATCTCATGCTTCTTGATGGTGGCTGCTTCCTGAACCCGGATGCAAAAGTCCCAGGAGGAGAAGACCTTGCTGCTGAGAGGCACCTTGTAGTCCTGACCCAGCAGAGTCTTCTGCGGTAGCCCCTTCACCATCCTGCAGGGCAGGAGATCAGGGGCTGCTGGAGGAGGGGCACCTCTACCATCCAGTGTCAGCCTCGGCTGGGCTCTGGGTCTAGGGTGGGGAAGGCCCTGGCAGCCCCAGGTGCAGGCCCTGGTGAGTGAGGAGTCAGAGCAGGGGGTGGTGGCCCTGTTCATAAGGTCTGTGGCCAGAGCCTGGGCTAAGGAACCACCCAGGAGCCAGTGGTGTGGGGCCAGAGGCCTTCCTGCCAGTGGGAGGGTACCATGCCAAGGAAGGGGTGATCAGGGAAGATGCCCCGGCAGTGGGTGAAGGCATGGGCTTCGCTCTCACCGCTGCAGAGTTCCGCAGAAGCAGAGGAGCAGGCAGGCCAGTGGGCTGAGGAGGTAGGCCAGGCGGATGCTGTATGCTGAGCTGCTCTCAGGCCCCACCCGGTACGCTCCATAGAAGAGGTAGGTATTGGTGAGGGCCTGAGGACAGCAATGGAGATGCCCAGCCCAGGTGAGCGCCAGGCGCCCCCTGAAATCCCCACCGGGTAGGGAGTGTCCTATCTTACAGAGGCCCACAGAGGTTTGGCAACTGTCCCCAGGTCACAGGGCTTTGAGAAAGAGCCGGGACTGGAACCCAGGACCCCCGATGGGAACCACTCCCCCAGTGGCTTCCCAGGATGAGGGTGGGGAAGTGCTTCTCCCAGAGGCTGGGACACTTTTCCCTTTTTGTCCTTTGCACCCTTACACCAGCTGGGCTCCGGGGGCCACGGGCATATGCCCCAGAGTCCGCGTGGGGCACAGCGGCCTCTCCCTGTCCCTAACCCCACCAATGGCCAGCCCAGTCTGTCTGTGTGAGATCATCAGGGAGGAGCCGAAATGCCCCTGGAGAGGTAGAGGTCCTCTTAGACTTGTGTCCGCTGAAGCCACTTCCCTGGGTCTCCCAGACTCTGTGGACCACAGCCAGTAGGGACCCCACTCACCCTGCCAGTTAAAACATGCCAAACTTGATTGTGGAACTTCAAAACGCCCGTCTGGGACTGGCTGCTTCCGGGGCACTGGAGGGCTGTTGGGAGGGAGGGGCTGATCGAGAGGGATCCAGGAGGCGGCGGCGAGGCCGTGCGGATACCGCTCCATAGCCCCAACCCGGGGGAGGCCTGAGCAGGGCGCTGCGGATGTGCCGGGGTGTGCCCCACACCAGGCGGGGTCAGGGAGAGAGAGCCCCGGCCCGGCATGGCGGGAGCACGCCCAGGGTTGCCCCCGCGCTCTAGGCCCTGGGCCAGCCCCCGGTGGCGCAGGTGGGCACCGGAGCTCTTCCCCTGGTGGGGCGCGCGCTTACTCAAGTCCAGGGCGGGGCCTGGGTCCGGGGTGCTGAGCCAGGCCAGGGGTAGCAGCACGAAGCTCGCGGTGGGCAGCAGGCTCAGCAGGTTGAGCAGTAGCAGGAAGCGGAGGAAGGTGAAGTAGGACTGGATTCCGGTGCCGAAGAGGCCTGCGGGGGCGTGGGAGGGAGAGCGGGGTGGGCCGGGGAGGCTGGGACCGGGCTGAGAGTCCAAGGCGGGGTGGCCGCCCGGCTCCCACCCACGCGAGTCCGGCGGTGCGGCTGACAGCTGCCTGGGGGTGCTGCGTGGGCCTGAGGTTTGCGGTGCCCGCGGGAGGAGGGGGTGGGAGCGAGGAGGGGCTGATTGGTCGGGGGACCCGGCCGAAGGCGGGTGGGATGATGCCTCCCTCCTTTTTTCCGATCTGGGCAGTGGGGCTCCGGAGAGGGCATGGAGAGGCGGGGTTCGCGCGGGTCCTACCCCCGATCTCGTAGAGAGCCCCCTCCCAGAGCCCAAGGCCCCGGGCCAGCCGCTGTGCCGCCTCCCGCAGGCGCCTTTTCACCGTCTGCTGCCGGCGCTGCCACCGCTGCCAGCGCAAGGTCTGAGCTCCCGCGGGCTCACGCAGCCGCCTGGACGCGGGTGGGGACAGGGGCGACCCTGAGTCACCCGCCCTGCCCGCCCGCGCCAGGCAGACGCGCATGGGCTGGAGGAGTCTTCCCGCCCCATCCGACGGGGCAGCCTGGAAGCGCCCCCCCACCCACCGCCCAGCGCCCGCGTGGCACCCACCAGATGAGGCGCTTGTCCATCATGGCATAGGGCAGCCCGCGCACTGGAGCCCCGGAGCATCGCAGCCGCTCCATCTCCGCCTCCCACAGCTCCTCGGGCTCCGGCCCCCCAGGGCCGCGTTCCGATGGCACCGACTGCGGCCGCAGCATCTCGGCAGGCGCGGGTGGAGGCTGGGGCGCGGGGCTGCGGGTGCGGGGGATGTGGGGCCCTGGGTGGATGAGTCGCAAGGCCTTGGCCCTGGCCTCTGGGCTCGCTGGGCTGGGGGCGGGCCCTTCCTTCCCCTGCGCACCGGCGTCAGGGCCTGGTCTCCGGCGGCCCGAGGGTCCACTTGCCGGGGTCTGTGGCCTGGCCGCCTCCGGGGCTCAGAAATGAGGAGAGAGAATCCTGGTGTGGGCGAATCCAGACTCAGTCCTGCTCCAACTCTCAGAGGGACACACAGCCCCGGCCTCAGTCTCCCCATCTGTCAAATGGGGTGAAAGTCCCAAAGGGCACAGAAAGAAGGACGGTCACAGGCAAAGCCAAGACCTGCTGCACCTCACACCCACCTGTGCCTGAGCCCACCGGTGCCCACCTTCGCCCTGTGGAGAGACAATTCCTGCTTTTCTCCATGTGCCAGTTTGCCCTTCCAGCAGAGCCCGTGTCCCCAACCCCACAGTTCTTGGGACTCAGCATCTGCTGCATCTGATGTCAGGGGATCCCCTTCCATCTTCCTTCTCGTGGTCCAGCCCCCAAGCCTGGGTCTGCCCAGGTACCCCCAAAATCCCCCCAGGAAGAGCTGTGGTTACAGCCCCAGCCGTGGGGACAGGAGCAGGGGACCCACTGCTGCCCTTGTGAGGCTCTAGCAAGCCCTCCACAGCCCGTCACCCTCTGCATCCTCCCTCCACTTGACATCCAGCTCACCTGGAGACCAAGGGACAAAGCCCCTGGAGGAGTCCCCTCCTCAGACAGCTCCTGCCAAGGCAGGCAGGGCGGTAAGGGAGTCCAGGGGAGGGCTCACGTGACAGGAACCCCAGCTTCCCCCTCCACTACCTCCCTCCTCCCCTCCCACCCCACGGTTTCCTCTGCTCTAAACTGAGGCTCAGCAGGCACTTCCTGAGGGCCCCTGAGACACAGAGTTGCAGGTGACAGGCGCTGGCAGCTCGTGCTCCCTGGGAGCTCTGCGTGCACTGGTCTGGGGACCCGCACTTCCTTTCCCTCTGCACAGGAGCCTGGTCTCCTGTGGTCTTAGGGTCCACTGGTCCGGGTCTGCCCCCGGCTGCCTCCAGGGCTGCCAGGCCCGTGGCTGAGGCCCTCTCTGTTTGCCCTTGGGGCCTGACCTGGGAAGCTGACATGGGTGGGGATTCGGATGTCGGGGGCGCAGGGGCCAAGCTCTTTATCTGCCTGCCACAGGGTCCCTGGAGGGCGCGATATGACAGAATGGTGGGGTCCCCTGAACACCAGCTGCTGGGTTTCCAGATACTCCTGGTGTTACTGCTGGACTTCTTGCCTCTGTCATTGGTGCTACCATTGTGCCAAGGCCCAGGACTGGCACCTGGTCCATAGTAAGTGCCCAGGAATCGGCTCTATTTGTGCTCGCCCAGGCTAGATGTTTAAGACACACCTTTGCCAATTTCCTGTCCCCGGGCCCCTGGGGGTCCCGCAGCCCTTCCTCCCTGCTCCCTCTCCACCTGCTATAGGGCCCAGTCATCTCAGGTCTGAATGTTTATAGCTTTTCTCCCTCTCTGCCTGAGGCATCCTTCCTGGTTTCCAGAGTCCTTGCTGTGAGTCAGGCCCGAGCCGTGTGCTGGTGCTGGGCACACAGTGGGCTGGGGTGGGAGGGGGCACAGCGCCACAGATGTGCATGTCAATAGGAAGTGGCAGGTGCTCCACCAGGGTTCAATCTGGGGAGGCTCCCCAGAGGAGGTGGCATTCATGCAAATTCAGTGTGGGTATGCAGGGAGGGGGAAGAGTGGAAGGAGAGGCAGGGGCTGGACCTCCATGCCAGGGTGCCATTTGTCAAGAACCAGCTTGGAGTAGCCATCTGAGGACCACACTGGCAGCTGCAAAAGGCCCTATCCTGGGCCTCGCCTTGCCTGCCTGCTCTGCCCAGCAGCAGCACCCTCTCCTGCCCTCCTGGGCCCCAGCTCACATTTACTCTCATGCTTCATGGCCTCTCCCCACCAGGAATGACCCTCCCTTTCAAATGGTCTTGGGGTGGGGGGTGCCATCTCAAAGCCAGTTTCCTCCATAGGGTTCCCAGGTGGACCACCAAGTCTCATGCTTTGCATGGGGGCACCCTAAAGGGTGATTAACCTCTCTCAGCCTCAGTTTCCTCATCTGCAAAATGGGAATATCAGTGCATACCTTCCTGGCTCATGGGGAATTACAGAAAATAGAGCAACAGGTAAAGCACCTTCAGGTCCAGCACCTGGGGACGTTCACGTTAAGTGTCAGTGTGACCTCATTTCACCCCCTCCTCTCCACACCACACACAGGAAGTGAGCCAGAACTCTTACAGATAAACAATGAGCCCCGCCCGGGTGTCAGGAGGGGGAGATAACCAGGCTCCCCCAGCGTGGGTCGGGGAGAGTCAGCAGGAGGCTTGCAGCTGAGGGGGGGGTTGCCCAATCTGGTGTGAAAGACTCTATGTTCCTCGGGCTTTCAGCGGCATGTTACATGGATGATCCCTAACCATGGGAAGCAGATGGGTCTGGAATTATCGTCCCTTTTTGGAACTTGGGGAAACTGAGTCTCACAAAAATTGGGGACTTCCACCAGGGACTCGGATGAATCCAGACACTCGGCCCCCCTCACCCAGCTCAGACCTCAGAATGCGGTGCGAGGAGGGGTCGCAAGTTGGCAGAGAAGGAAGGCACAGTCGCCGCGGGGCGCCCGGAGGAGGGAAGGGGGCGCCACGGGCGGGACCACGTGACAGCCGAGGCCCGTCGCCCCGTGGGCCGGGCGGTGCAGCTCCACCCGGCCCCGCCAGACCTGCGTCGGCCCAGTGGCCCCCTGGGGTCCTTTGCCACTCCCTCGCACTGACCCCGCGGCCCCTCCCTCGGTTCCCGGCGGGGCACAGGTGAGCCTGGCTGCGCGCGCGGCCCCTCCTCCCCGGCGCCTCCCAGGTGAGCGGCCGCGATCCCGGTTCCGGGTCCCGCGGGGCTGCAGCTCCCGGCGGGGTGGAAGTGGGGGCGGCGCGCGGGTCTTGCCAGCCGCGGTCGCTTCTCCCCTGCGGGGACGGCGGCAACCCCTCCTGAACTCCGTTCGGCCACTGGGGCCCCTTGGCAGCCGGGTTCCCTCCCCGCTGCTCCCGGAGCTCCCAGGGGTTGACTCTCGGGCTTGGACCGAGCTGGGAGCGGGAGGGGCGCGGAGGGCAGCCTCAGAACCCCCAGCCCGGCCCCGGGACACCGGGGAAGGGGGGAAGCGGCCGGGATGGGAAGGGGCGGGGAGGCCGGGCCGCGCGGGCCGGACCACTGGCCGCGAGGGGCGGGGAACAGGGAGGCTGGCTGGGCGGGGGTCGGGGCCCCCGAGTTGCCGCCGCCCTGGGCTCCGGGGCCGGGTTGAGGCTCTCCATGGGTAGCGGCTGCTTCCGGGGAGCTCGCTGCCGGCTGGGGTGGGGGTTCCTGGAAACGGGCGCCTCCACACTCAGAGCTCAGGAATGGTGCGCCCCGGAAACTCCGCTGGGCTTGCCCGGGCCTCGGGCGGGGTGCTGGGGCGCTGGGTCCCCAGGTCCCCTGAGCTTCGGAGGGCCTGACTGGAGGAGGGGATTCCAGCTCTAGGGACTGGATGGGGCGCCCTCAGCCCCTCCTTCGGCAGCTGTCCCGGGTTAGGCTGGGTAGGGGCCGCCTCGGACCCAGCTCTGGTCTGGTTTTCCCTCATCTTACTCCTGCTGGAGGGAGGGGAGGGCTGGTGGTGTGGGGCCTGGCCTGAGGATGGCACCCTGGACACTGAGGGAGGGCACCATCTGGCCTTGGGACGGGCAGCCCTGCAGGAGCGGTCCTGTCGGGGCACCTGGCTTTGGCTGCCGGAGTCAGCGCCCTTCGGCCCGGCCCTGAGTTCCCTGAGGGTGAGGGCAGGAGAATCCCAGGGAAGGGGCCTGGGGCACTCGCTGGTGGCTGGGACAGAGTCCTGGCTCCACTCCCGCAGGGTGAGCAGGGCGAATCGGCCCGGAGCCAGGGCCCCTGGCAAGGCCGCTCTGGTTCCAACTGTGCCGGGTGGCGGCAGAGCCAGGACAAAGGAGGTCTACAAAGGAGGCCTGTTGAGGCCCTGGCCACCCCTCCCCAGCTGGCCTCCCTGGGATGATGGAATGTGGGAGAGTGGGTCTTCTCAGAACAGAAGGACCTTGGAGCCCCGATGGGGGTGGTGGGAGTGACTGCTGTGTGGGGAGGAGCGGCCTGTCTGCGCTTCCGCCTGGGGCTGGGGTGAGGGCTCCAGCAGCTGAGTTCCTGCTAGAGGAAGTGCTTTGGGGTCACAGGGCAGACGCAGAGGCCGCCAGCCTGCCCTGCCCTTTCTCTCCAGAAAGGAGGTATCTCTGGGCCAGAACCCTGGGAATGGAGGGTCTGAAAGGGCTGTGTCTACAGGCACCCCACCTCTTCCCCATTTCCCAGGGACTGGCGACATCAAGGAACAGAGAGGGAACTGCAGACCCACACCCTTCCTTCCTCTCTCCCCTCCCCAGACACTGGAGGGGCCTCCAATCCATTCTGGCATGAGGCTTATTCGGGCCTGACCACGAGTTTACCTGAGGTGGGGGGTGGGAAAGGCTGCCTGGGCTGTGAGTGGCACCTGCCGTGGTCCCCCAGGAGTGGGTGGTGTGGACGCCCGCCAGGCATTGAAGGCGGGCTCTGGCTCAGTGCCGCTATCTCGTCAGATGGGCAGCAAGAGGCTCTGGTGGAGGCGTCCAGGCTCTGAGCTGGCCTAGGTCTGCAGACTGGCAGGGCGTTGGCCGTGGACATGGCCCAGCCACTGCCCTTTGTCCTTGATGTCCCTGAGACCCCAGGGGACCAGAGGTAAGTGCTCTGGGGCTGGGGGCTGGAGGCTGGAATGTTCCACCCCCATGGAGAGGTCACCTGAGCAGGGGCCTGAGGAAGGAGAGCTGCGGCTGGAGGCTGATCCCCTCCCACTCCCCACAGCAGCCAGGAGCCCAGTCCCTATGATGAGAGCGAAGTGCACGACTCCTTCCACCAGCTCATCCGAGAGGCCCAGGAGGGGCTGGAGCTGCAGCAGAGAGCGAGGGGGGCCGCAGGTGAGCTTGGGCCTGGCTGCTGGGAGGCATGGACCGAGACTGGGGTGCCCTAGCCCCTCAGGACGGGCCTCCCAGCTCTGCAGGCCTAGGGTGGGGTGGGAGAGACAGTGGCCAGAGGCATCTCCAGGACCCCCAGTGAGTCTTTCTTGCTTTGCAGGGAGTGGCCCACACACACTCTCGGGGTCTGAGGACACCCGCAGCACGGCCACCCTCCGCATCCTGGCCAGCATGCCCAGCCGCACCATTGGTGAGTGGGACCCTTGGCCTCGCCCTGAGTCGGCCCCGGCGCCTGGGCTGGGCCGGGCCAGGCTCGGCTTTCCGCCGGGCATCTGCGTGGCCCAGAGCCCAGCGCGGGTTCCTAGCCCACCCGATCTGCTGCCTGGACAGCCCCATGCGGCCCTCGCTGGGCTCCAAAAACGACTCCAGAGTCGTCATGGGATAAAAATAGTCTCTTGGAATGCAGTGGTGCCCAAGGTCTCTGCTGAAAGGATTTTCCTGGGTCCTGGGAAGGGGCGAGGGACAGGGAGGCCTATGGTGAGCCCATCCTGAGGGGAGGGAGGCCTGGCCCTGCCTGGCCCCGTCTTGCTCAGCTGCCTCCGTAGGCCGCAGCCGGGGCGCCATCATCTCCCAGTACTACAACCGCACGGTGCAGCTTCGGCGCCGGAGCAGCCGGCCCCTGCTCGGGAACTTGGTGCGCTCTGCCCGGCCCAGCCTCCGCATGTACGACCTGGAGCTGGACCCCAGGGCCCAGGAGGAGGAGGGTGAGTGAGCGGGCACCAGAGCCCCAGTGGCAGACACTGGCATGGGGGGGTGCAGGAGGCCAGCCTGGTGGCGGGGCCGGGAGGGCTGGGGTGAGGCAGAGTGGGGGGGCCCCCTTCCCTATCCCTTAGCAGGCTGCCTGAAGGCTTCCCTGTCCCTCTACAGGGACCCACGGGGACAGGGAAGGGGGGGTCTTACCTCACAAACATCTTGGAGTGCTCGGAGGGTTGTGACCCTGGGCCCCCTCGCTGGGGACCGTGCAGGGGAAACACGCCGTCTTGTCTGTGAGCTTCCTGCTCAACTGAAGCAAACACAGGGACAAGCTGCGATTCAGGAACAGATAAGGGCACCGATGTGTCAGGACGGTGCCTCAGGGGCACACAGAACTGTCCAGGGTCCCGGCTGCGGGCGGCAGGGAGGGGCACTGGGGATGGACGGGACCTGCCTCTTCTCGCAGAGAAGCAGAGCCTCCTGGTGAAGGAGCTCCAGAGCCTGGCGGTGGCACAGCGGGACCACATGCTTCGAGGGATGCCTTTAAGCCTGGCTGAGAAGCGCAGCCTGCGGTGAGCGCCTCGCTCCCCCACCAGCTCCTGCGCCCCCAGCCCCTGTGCCCCCAACCCCCAGGCTGGACTGGGTGGTTCGGGAGAAGGGGCTGAGCCTGTGGGCGGCTGGTCCCCAGGAAGGAGGGAGTCGGGCCCCTCATTGATCTGGGCACCTATGGTTCCTTCTGTCCCCAGAGAGAAGAGCCGGACCCCAAGGGGGAAGTGGAGGGACCAGCGGGACCACGGCGGTGTCTGCTCCTGCTGTGGCTGGCTCAGATATGCCTGTGTGCTGGTAGGGGCCCCTGGTCTGCCCCAGGGCTGGGGCAGCTGGGCAGGGCCCCTTCGCCTGGGTCCCTCCTCCGGCCTCACCCCCAGGGCGTCTCTGCTTCTGCCCGCAGACCTTGCACAGCCTGGGGCTGGCGCTGCTGTCCAGCCTGCAGGCTCTGACGCCGTGGCGCTACGCCCTGAAGCGCATCGGGGGCCAGTTCGGCTCCAGCGTGCTCTCCTACTTCCTCTTTCTCAAGACCCTGCTGGCTTTCAATGTCCTCCTGCTGCTGCTGCTGCTGGCCTTCATCGTGGGCCCGCAGGCTGCCTTCCCGCCCGCCCTGCCGGGCCCTGTCCCGGTCTGCACAGGCCTGGAGCTCCTCACAGGCGCGGTGAGGAAGCCCTAGGGCTGGGGGCTGGGGGCGCTTGTCTTCTGCTGCCTTGGTACTGTGTCCCTTTCTTGTCCCAGTGCCCCTGGGGCTCCCAAGCCGTGCCCCCACTGTGACTCCAGGTGGCCACAGCCACCTCCCCACCTCCCCCTCAATGCCCCTGGATGCCCATCATGCCCAGGTTCCCATGGGGCTGGGAGGCCTAAGCTTGCTGTGGCCACGGCCCCTCTCTGTGTCCCTTGCCTCCCCTGCCTGCCCTCCCTGCTCTGCCCGTGGCTGTCAGGCCTGAGGTCAGGGTGAGGGTGGGGAGTCCCTGACTCGTGGCTCTCCCTGCTGCAGGGCTGCTTCGCCCACACTGTCATGTACTACGGCCACTACAGTAACGCCACGCTGAACCAGCCGTGTGGCGGAGCCCTGGAGGGCGGCCGGTGCTCACCCAGGGTGGGCGGCCTGCCCTACAACATGCCCCTGGCCTACCTCTTCACCGTGGGCGTGGGCTTCTTCATCACCTGCATCACCCTGGTGTACAGGTAACGCCTCCCCCTCATGACCCAGGCTCTGAGCTCCGCTCATCCGTCATTCGTCCTTTGACCCGGCCATTGATCTTCCCTTTCTTCCTTCTACGCATCTATCCACCTATCTGCTCTCATCTACTCACCCACCCATCCGCCCACCCACCCACCCACCCAACCACCCATCCACCCATCCACCCAACCACCCATCCACCCATCCACCCAACCGCCCATCCACCCATCCACCCACCCATCCACCCATCCACCCATCCACCCACGCATTCAGCCACCATCCACCTATTCACTCATCTGTCTATTCACCCATCCGCCCACCCGCCCACCCACCCATCCACCCATCCGCCCATCCACCCACGCATTCAGCCACCATCCACCTATTCACTCATCTGTCTATTCACCCACCCGCCCACCCGCCCATCCACCCATCCACCCACGCATTCAGCCACCATCCACCTATTCACTCATCTGTCTATTCACCCATCCACCCACCCATCTACCGACTCATTCATCTACCCATCCACCTATTCACCCACCCACCCATTCATCCATCTACTTACCCATTCAGCCACTCATTCATCCATGCATCCATCCATTCACATTCATTCATCTACCCATCCACCCACTCATCCATCCACCCATCCATTCAACCATTTACAAATATATCCACCCACCTACCCACACACGCATCTACGTATTCCACAAACGTTCCCTGTGCTCAGCTCAGGGCACGATGGTAAATGAGCATGGAGCCTGTCCTGGGGGGGCGTGCTGTCTCTGGGAGAAGGTGGACCACTGGGCTGGGACAATCCAGGAGCCTTAGCGGTGTTCCCCATGTTATGGGAGCACTGGGGAAGGAGTCAGCTTGCTTCTCAGGTGAGGTGGCACTTGCCGTAGGAGAGGAAGGTTAAATAAGAGTGGGGATGGATGAAGAAGCAGGGAAGATGTTTTGGTCAATGGGCCCAGCAGTTCTGAGATGAGCCCAGCATGTTCTGTCCGTGTCTCGCTGGGAGGCAGCCAGCCGAGTCAGTGGTGAATGCAGCCGTGCCCCTTCTTCTGGGCATGCGGCTGGTGGGTGCCGTATTGGATGAGACTGGTGTAGAGGGCTGGGGTGGGGCAGAAGCATGGCAGGAGGTCCATGCAGGGCCCAGAAGGCTCCTGAGTAGGTGGTGGGGCCTGGCTGCCGAGAGCACCCCGTCTGCCTTCTCCCCTTGGCCTCTGCCCCCTCAGCTTGTCGGTTGCCCTGTCTGTGTGTGCCTCTCCTCAGCATGGCTCACTCTTTTGGGGAGAGCTACCGGGTGGGCAGCACCTCTGGCATCCACGCCATCACCGTCTTCTGCTCCTGGGACTACAAGGTGACACAGAAGCGGGCCGCCCGCCTCCAGCAGGACAGCATTCGCACCCGGCTGAAGGTGAGCGGCCCTGGGAGCCCCCACCTGTGGGCCCTGGAGCACCTAGCTGGCCTGCCCCAGCTCCCTGCAGGCCTGGCCCTGGGCCCACTTAGGACCACATGGCCAGAACTGTGTTCTAGAGGGAGGGCCATCTGTCCGTGAGCTGAAGTCTGGGCACTGGGCAGGCGTGGCCTTCTGCTCGCAGTGACGGGGCAGGCCCTGGTTTTGCTCAGGTACGCGCCCCTCAGTTACGTGCTGCCTCTGTTGTCTGCCAGTGGGTGGTAGCACCGTGCCTGGTGAGCACCCAGGAGCCAGCCCCAAGGCCTCAGGCCCCAGCTGGCACATACCCCCTGGCTGGTGTTAGCTTGGTTGGTGGCCCCAGGTGCCCAGTGGGTGAGGACTGTCATCTTTTCTTTTTTCTGTTTTTTGAAATGGAGTCTTTCTGTTTCCCAGACTGGAGTGCAGTGGTGCAATCTTGGCTCAGTGCAACCTCCGCCTCCTGGGTTCAAGAGATTCTCCTGCATCAGCCTCTCGAGTAGCTGGGACTACAGGTGTGCACCACCATGCCCAGCTAATTTTTGTATTTTTAGTAGAAACGAGGTTTCACGGTGTTGGTCAAGATGGTCTCGATCTCTTGACCTCATGATCCGCCCACCTCGGCCTCCCAGAGTGCTGGTATTACAGGCCTGAGCCACCGCACCCGGCCGACTGTCATCTTTTCTGTGTCTGAGTGAGGAGACTGAGGCTGAGACCAAGGCCCTTGCAGAGGTCTCGGGGCCAGGAGGCTGCAGAACTGGGGGCTCGTGGAGCATTCTCTGCCTTTCTGGGGTTCTCTGCTTTGAGGAGCTCAGAGTTGTGACCTGTCAGCAGTCATTCCATGGCGGGGCTTCTCGTCACTGGGGAGCCATCCACATCCACAGGGAACAGGAAGGGACCTCTGAGCAAGGCTCTGGCCCCAGCAGGCAGGGCTGGGAGGCGGGAGGAGAGGGGTTGAGGCAGGCCTCGGGAGTGAACGCCAGTCGAGGCACAGAGGCCTCCCGGCAGAGGACTGGGTCCTCTCTGCGCGGAGGGAGGGCTCTGGACAGGTGAGAGGGCAGGTGGGGTGTTGGGGTCCAACCCTCTGTCCTGGGTCAAGCTTCCTGGTGTGTGGCGTGTGTGTTGTGTGTCATGCTGTGTCCGTGCTCTGGTGTGGGTGACAGGGACACGGTGCTGCCTGCAGGAGCTTCTGGCCGAGTGGCAGCTGCGGCAGAGCCCCAGGAGTGTGTGCAGGAGGCTGCGGCAGGCAGCCACACTGGGACTCGTGTGGCTGCTGTGTCTGGGGACCGCACTTGGCTGTGCTGTGGCCGTCCACGTCTTCTCGGAGTTCACGATCCAGGTGCGGGGATCGGGGAGAGCCTGGCCTTTGCTGGGAACATGTCCCCAGCGACTCTGGGCACCAGCCCCCTGGGGAGACAGCCTTGCCTCCCTTCCTCCACCCAGCCAGGCCAGGGTGCCGTGTGCGCTGCGCCCCGCGCTGGGGCTCCCTCCCAGCCCCGCTTCTCGCCCTTGTCTTATCTCATGGCCTTTTTTTTTTTTTTTGGTTTCTTGTTTCTTTTCCACAACCTGTGTCCCTCCCACTTCCTGTGTGGTTTGAACTTGAGACTGGGGAGGGCCAGATCTTGGAGGAGGGAGATGCTACTTGCCAGTTCCACCCCGGCCCCTCCCTATAGCTGCCGCCTCCCACCATGGATGGGGGGCCTTCCGTGACACCGCCCCCTGCACCCCTGCAGAGTCCGGAGGCTGCTGGCCAGGAGGCCTCGCTGCTGGTCCTGCCCCTGGTGGTCGGCCTCCTCAACCTGGGGGCCCCCTACCTGTGCCGCATCCTGGCTGCCCTGGAGCCGCAGGACTCCCCAGTGCTGGAGGTGTACGTGGCCATCTGCAGGTGTGTGGCTGCACATGGAAACACCCTTGGTGCTGGAGCTGGTACCGCTTGTTTGGCTCTGGGTGTATCTTGGGTGACCAAGCCCTTGGTGGGGGCCCTGGGGTGCACCTTCTGTCTCCTGCACTCATGCCTCAGCCTCTGCGCCCCGCCCTCCACAGGAACCTCATCCTCAAGCTGGCCGTCCTGGGGACACTGTGCTACCACTGGCTGGGCCGCAGGGTGGGCGTCCTGCAGGGCCAGTGCTGGGAGGACTTAGTGGGCCAGGAGCTGTACCGGTTCCTGGTGATGGACTTCGTCCTCATGCTGCTGGACACGCTTTTTGGGGAACTGGTGTGGAGGTGAGGGGGCCCGGGGTGGGCTTGGCTGGGCCCATCTGCCCACCCCCGAGTCCCTTGAGCGCTCTCTGGGCACCCTGGGCGGGGCTGGCGGGAGCATTCTCCCCATCCTGGCGCGTGGCCAGGGAGCTTCCCCGACCTGGATCTTTCAAATCAGGGCCGCGTGTCTCCACCCTTCAGAGGAACACACAGGGAACAGAACCTAACTCGTGTTTAGATTGGAAAGGAAAACAGTTTCAGAGTCTTGTGTATATCACAGCCTCAGTCTAGGATGCAAAGGAAAAACAGGCGGTAGGGAACAGACAGCGGAGGAACATTTAAAAAATGTTCCAGGCCGGGTGCGGTGGTGCACGCCTGTAATGCCAGCTACCCGGGAAGGTGAGGCAGGAGAATTTCTTGAACCCGGGAGGCGGAGGTTGCAGTGAGCCGAGATCACACCACCACACTCTAGCCTGGTGACAGAGCAAGAGCAAGACTCTATGTCTCAAAAAAAAAAAAAAGAAAAAAAAAGTTTCAGGTATTCTGCTGCAGGTCCTGGCACTTCAGCTGTTTTATCCTCTTGGTGTTTTCTTTGAGAATATGTAAATTTAATAATAATAATAAGATTAAATCAGGAGGAGGCCCGGTGCAGTGGCTCACGCTGTAATCCCAGCACTTTGGGAGGCTGAGGTGGGAAGATCACTTAAGCCCAGGAGTTTGAGATCAGCCTGGGCAACAGAGCGAGACCTCGTCTCTAATAATAACTAAAAATAAAAATTAGCTGGATATGGTGGTGTGTGCCTGTAGTCTCAGCTACTTGGGAGGCTGCGGTGGGAGGATCACTTGAGCCCAGGAGGTCAAGGTTGCCGTGAGCCGTGATTGTGCCACTGTGCTCCAGCCTGAACGGCAGACTCTGTATAAAAAAAGAAAAAATCACTTAGTGCTGGAGTTAATGCTGTTATTTGGCACTGGGTGTATCCGGACCTACTTAGGATGAGGCCAGTGTGACCGAGCCCCTGGTGGGGGCTCCCAGGATGGGGGCTGTCTCTCCTTGGCATTATCTGTGGAAGGGCCAGGATGTCACCTGGATGGCAGTGCCTCTGGGTGTGGGGACTCGGGCCCGCCTCCCTGCACGTGGCTGTTCCATCTAACTCTCTGGGGTCCTCCTGGGTGGCAGGATTATCTCCGAGAAGAAGCTGAAGAGGAGGCGGAAGCCTGAGTTTGACATTGCCCGGAATGTTCTGGAGCTGATTTATGGGCAGACTCTGACCTGGTGAGGGGCCTCCGCGTGCCTTCTGTTGTCTGGCCCCTAGGTCGGTGCTCCTTTCCCCGAGGCCAGAGCCAGGCCCAGCCGTGGACCCTGGAGTGATGCGGGCCCTGACCCCGGGGACCCACTTGTGGCCACTCTCACTTGCCCTGCCCGTGGTCTGGAAGCAGCCTGGTGGCCGGGGGGGCACTGGAGCAGTCCCTGAACTGCTGTTCCTCCCCAGGCTGGGGGTGCTCTTCTCGCCCCTCCTCCCCGCTGTGCAGATCATCAAGCTGCTGCTTGTCTTCTACATCAAGAAGGTGAGGTTGCCAAGGGCTGGGCTAGCAGGGTGGCCTGGCAGTGGGGCAGGACTCAGTGGGCAAAGCGTGGGACACTGGAACCCTCCCCATGAGAGTGGAGTGTGGCTGGCAGCCCTGGCTGCTCTGGGCTCTGTTCCTCAGCCCAAGGGGCGGCTGACCTCTCCTGGCTTCGCTGTCTTTGGCAGACCGGAGCTGGGTGCGGTGGCTCACGCCTATAATCCCAGCACTTTGGGAGGCTGAGGGGGGCAGATCACCTGAGGTCAGGCAGGCCGGGGAGCATTCGATGGGGTTCAGAGGTCATCACCGAGTGCCTGTGTGCACCTGGCCAGGGCTCTGGAGACACTAAGCCTCCCTCCGGCCCTCTGGGTCCCTGGGAAAGTGACCCTGGTCCTCTGTCCTCAACCGGGGCATGCCCAGTGGCTGAGAACTGGGACCTTTGTTCCCATGCTGGCTCCTGTCTTCTTTGGCCGTTTCCTCATCCACGCAATGGGGACCATGTTCCAGTGGGGACTGAGGGAGGTGGCGTGTAGCATGTTGTGTGCAGAGCCTGGTATGGCAGCGACCTTCAATGGACGGAGGTGCTGTGGGCATCACCCCTTTGCATGTGGGTGACCTGCAGGCCTCCGTTTTCCTCTGTAAATGAGGTAGCTGCAGGGAGCAGGCTCCTGTCCTGGGCTCTGCCTGGACGCACAGCCTCGGTCGCCCTTCCCTCCTGAGCTCCCCCAGGCCTTGGAGGGTGCCGAGGGGTGGCAGGACGCTGGCAGAATGCAGCCTTTCCCCGCAGACCAGCCTTCTGGCCAACTGCCAGGCGCCGCGGCGGCCCTGGCTGGCCTCGCACATGAGCACCGTCTTCCTCACGCTGCTCTGCTTCCCCGCCTTCCTGGGCGCCGCCGTCTTCCTCTGCTACGCCGTCTGGCAGTGAGTGAGGCGGGTGGAGGGAGACCCTTCTGTGCCATCCCGGAGTTGGGTGGTGGTACCTGGGGGGCCGAGGCTTGGGGTGAAGGCAGGCTGGGAGGGAGCCTGGCGGGCTGTTGCCTAGGCTAGGGATTCCTGGGCGGCCTCTTCCCCAGGGTGAAGCCCTCAGACATCTGTGGCCCCTTCCGGACCCTGGACACCATGTACGAGGCGGGCAGGGTGTGGGTGCGCCACCTGGAGGCGGCGGGCCCCAGGGTCTCCTGGCTGCCCTGGGTGCACCGGTACCTGGTGGAAAACACCTTCTTCGTCTTCCTGGTGTCGGCGCTGCTGCTGTGAGTCCTGCAGGTGGGGGTGGCCCTGGGGAGATGGCCCTCGCTGGGCCTGCATCAACCCGACAGCCCCTCTCCTGCAGGGCCGTGATCTATCTCAACATCCAGGTGGTGCGGGGCCAGCGGAAAGTCATCTGCCTGCTCAAGGAGCAGATCAGCAACGTGAGTGCCCCCGCCTCAGCTACCCTGGCCCCCACCTTCTCAGTCATCTGGGTGACACTCCCCTCCACTCCCCTGCCAGCTCATCCCCAGCCCCTGCATACCTTCCCTTCTAGGCCTCGGCTGGTGAGAGGGTTTGTTTGCCAAACAAGTGACCCTGATCAATACATGCACTTCAGTGCAAGTGACAAAGCAGCCATGAGACAGATCCCCAGGGACCTCCAGGGACCCACTGGAACTGGGGCCCTGGGGGGGAGGTGTGTGATTTCAGCCCCAGGGTGTGGCCCTGCTTGAGGGTTCAGACAGTCTCCGTGAGGGCTTCTGAGATCCTAGAAATGGATTTTGGGTCCCTGTGGACTCTTCATTCATTTTACAAACAGGTGCAGTCAGGACTGAAAATAGTTTTTTGAAGAAAACACTGCTGGGCTGGACGTGGTGGCTCACACCTGTAGTCCTAGCACTTTGGGAGGCCAAGGTGGGAGGATGGCTGGAGCCCAGGAGTTCGAGACCAGATTGGGCAACAGTGAAACCTCGTCTGTACGAAAACTTAAAAGTTAGCTGTGTGTGGTGGTATGCGTCTGTAGTCCTGGCTATTTGGGAGGCTGAGGCGGAGATCGCTGGAGCCCAGGTGGAGGCTGCAGTGAGCCATGATCATATGATTGTGCCACTGTGCTCCAGCCCGGGTAACTGTGAAAACCTGTCTCATTAAAAAAAAAAAAAAAAGGAATAAAAAGGGCCGGGCGCAGTGGCTCAGGCCTGTGATCCCAGCACTTGGGGAGGCTGAAGGGAGAGGATCACTTGAGGTCAGGAGGTTGAGACCAGCCTAGCCAACATGGCAAAACCCTGTCTCTACTAAAAATACAAAAATTAGCTGGGCATGGTGGTGTGTACCTGTAACCTCAGCTACTCGGGAGGCTGAGGCAGGAAAATCAGCCGAGATCGCGCCACTGCACTCCAGCCTGGGTGGCAGAGGGCGCTGATGACGCTCTCATGCTGTCATGGGAGTGAGCTGCATATGGAGGTGAGACCCCACATCCCAGCGGCAGCCCCCAGGAGGACTGTTCACCCAGCAGCTGGCCCCCGTGCCCACTCCCTCCACTCCTCTCTGCCCAGGAGGACCTCCTTGTGCACTGGACAGCCGCCAAGCTGGACACAAGGCACTTTCCCCCCACCCCCAGGGCCACCCAGCCTCCTCCCCGAGACCTCTCCCCCTGAAGAACGGCCTGAGAGGCAGGTCTTGGCCTTTCCTGGCTTGCGTCCTGCTGCTGGGCTCTGCCCCACCCCCACCAGGGCTCCCAGTCCCCTTCCATTGCTGTTTGTCCTCTCCTCCTGCAGTATTTCACTCGGGCTGGCGAATGCGTGCGTCCTCAGGTGTGCTCCACACCAGGGCTTGGGGGGCGCTTGTTGGGGTCAGTGGCTGGTGTCTCCAAGGTGAGGGCAGGGCGGGCTGCAGCCAGTGGGCCTCGGCAGACATGTGACCCTGCTGCTGGCTAGCTGGTGCCAGGAGCCACGCTCCAGGCAGCTCGTCCCAAGAGCTTATGGGGACAGCTCCCCTGTTTCTTGGGTTGTGAACACTGTCCCATCTCCTGCCTTTTCCATTTGGCCACACAGAGCTGAAAGCAGGGCATCTTGACTGCAGTGGTCATCTGGCCATAGACATTGGAAGTGGGAAATGGCTCCTGCCCTACTGGGTGGCATTTCAGAGCCCCCGGGGCCAGGTGGGGTGGGCAGGGAATGCAGGGGAGGAGAATCCCAGCTCCCTCCACTGGCTGATGCTCTGGGATGGGGAGGAGCTTTCTCCTGGGGGATGCTGGCTGCAGCGGCTACCCAAGGCCGAGCTCTGACCCCAGTCTCTGGGGCCCGACCTGAGCTTTCCCCAGGCAGGTCATCATGGCTCACGCGTACAGCCCCTCTGTCCTCAGCAGCCACTTGACAGAAGCAGCTTGGGATGTTGCTTAAGGGGCCTGTGGTCCCTCCTTGAAGGTGTTCGAAGTGGTCCTCCTAGCCTGCGCCAGGTTGCCAGGTGCCCAGAGCCAGTCAGCGTGGATCCTGACAGGACTGCTCTGTCCTCTTTGTGAAGGTTCCCAGCAGGGAATCCCGGTCTGACCCCGGGGCCTGTGCGCCAGGTCCTATGCTGAGTGCCCCCTCTGCTTGTCACATTTCATTGTCGAAAGAGCTGTGGGTCACTCTAGGACTGGCCCCAGAGAAGTCCCCGTCCTAAGACTGGAACCTGTGACTGTTATGTGGCTTGGGGAATTAAGGTTTCAGGCAGAATTAAAGTTGCCAGTTAGCTGACTTTTGGTAGGAGACGACCCTAGATCACTGAGGTGGCCTAGCATGATCTTAGGGTCCTTAGAGGTGAGACATGGAGGCCAGAGGGTCAGGGTCAGAGTGGTGCCACATGAGCTGGGCGGGCTAAGAGCCAAGGACTGTCGAGGCCTCTATAAGTTGGAAAAGGTGAGGAAGGAGATTCTCCCTGGAAGCCTCCAGGAGGAACACAGCCCTAACGATGCCTTGATTGTAGCCCAGTGAGACTCAGTTTGGACTTCTCACCTCCAGAACTCAACGATGAGAGACTGGTGGTGGTTTAAGCCACGAAGATGATGCTAGTTCATTACGGCTGAAGCAGGAAACTAATGTAAACCCCATGATGTGTGTTACCACCCCCTTTACAGATGCTGCCACTGAGGTCAGAGAGTTAGTAACCCAAGGCAGAGCCAGTAAGTGGCCAGGCTGGTTTTAAATTGAGTCAGGCTGGCTCTGGGCTGCTGATCACATTTCCCTTTTCACTTTGGCCACTAGGAAGCTTAGATCCACACATATGCCCAATTCCTGGCTCTTGGTTTTTCCTTGTCCTTGTTTTGGTGGCTCTTTCACCTTTTATTTTACCTTTTTGCTGCTTGTGATGTTGAATACACCTCATGAGTTTTCCCTTAAATGCAGTTTGGAACAGGGTGGCTCTGGATGGGCTGATGGATGGATGGATGGGTGACTTTTCCTTCCCTTTGTGTTCTGGACTTTCTAGGAGGGGGAGGACAAAATCTTCTTAATTAACAAGCTTCACTCCATCTACGAGAAGAAGGAGAGGGAGGAGAGGAGCAGGTGAGAGTCTGTGGAGTGTTAGGGGCCACTCTGAGCCAGGAGAGAGGGGTCACGGCTGGACAGTGGGGCTCCCTGGGGCTGCACCATGACATTGCTGATACTTGACCACTTTTGACCTACAAAAGTCCCCACCCTGGCCTCCAGCCCACCCTCACTGTCTCTAGAACCTTCTCTGGCCTCTGGAGCCTGACCATTTTGACAGGGACTTGAAATAATCTCAGGAGAAAGGCTGTGGGGAATTTGGCCTGTCCCTTGCTTGGCCTTGGCTGTGCCCAGCCAGGTTGCAGGGATGTTGACGCCTGTGGGGTTCCCTTGCTGACATCTCTTTCTGGCAGGATTAGGACAAGTCAGGCTGTGGTACCTCCTACCCTCATCACAGATGAACGGGATGCCTAGGAGGACGGGGATGGGCTTCGAGGGCCCACCCAGCACCCTGAGACCACACTGGTGTCTCCCAGTGACCCCGCTGGATACCAGGACAAGGACGACACTCAGCTTCTCCTCTTGAAAGCTAGGCTGAAGCTAGAAGGGTGGGTGAATCCAGCTTGGGCACCCCCAGTGAACTCTGCCCTGTGACTCTATTTATTCCGATTAAAGGGGTTTTGCAGATGGGCTTGTCCCTTGGGGCTCTGTGCCTGATTACCATGTCCATGTCCAGGGCCTGCTTCCTGCTGCCTTGGGGCCACCTCTAGGCACAGGTCTAGGTCGTGGGAACCTCAGCTGGAGCAAGGGCGCCCTCTGCTGGCCAAGCCCCAGATGGCAAGGGCTGGACAGTGCCAGGGCTTGATCTGTTCACTGCTTTTGACCAGCCTGAACCTGTGCCTGAGGGGCGCTCACCTGCACAGATGAGCCGAGCAGGCAGAGATTGTGACCAGAGCGATGCATCAACCATTGGGTGATGCTGTAGCAACTATTGGAGCAGGAGGGAAATTTAGAGGGACTTGGGATGACGTTTCAGTTACAAAGGAGCTGTGGTGACATGTGCCTTACACAGAGGCAGCCAGTACCTGGACTTGGAGGTGAACAGGGTTTGGTGGGGTAGGGCTGGCCCCTGCTTCTGGCTGCCAGCAGCTAGCTTGGGGGGTGGCGACCCTGGGTCTGACTGGGCTGAGTGAGGAGCCCGTGGAATACCAAAAACCCAAGGCTGTGGGGTGGGGACAGGGATTCGGGGACCAGCCCATCATAGCCCGGGGCTCCATGTCTCCAGCCTGTCATGGCCCAGGGCTCCATGTTTGTAGGAGCTGTGCTTGGGATTAGGGTGGTCAGCCCAGGGTCAGAAAGCAATGGGCCCAGAAAAGGGTCAGACCCAGGTGGAGATGCCACTGGCCGTTAGCAGAGCCCCAAGCTGGGCCCAGCCCACCCGGTCCCATGGGGAGGCTCCTGCACTCTGAAGACATCTGGGTGCTGCCACTGGGGCCCAACAGAGTGGGCATTCGGGTGGATCTGACCAAAGTGGTGCTTCGGGGCCTCTGCAAGTAGCTGGTGTGGATTCTGGGCGGCTGCCTGGGGCAGCATCTTTAGGCATGAGCGCTGCTGGGTGAAGCTGCATGGGCAGTCCGGAAAGTGAGACAGTCCAGAGGGACTGACCTCGGCTTTGTGGCCCCCATCTGTGCAGACGCTGTCCTCCAAACCATTACGGTCCCTCTCTGGATGGGGACGTACGCCTGCCACTGCTGGTTTGACAGCATGATCACTGCTTGTGATCTGTCAAGCTCGCCTTGCCAACCTCACAAAGGACAGTAGTGGCTGCTTATGGCAGGGAAGTGGAAGAACTTGCCCCGGATATTTCTGGAATCACTGTGTGTGCTAGTCAGTCTTTTGTGTCAACCAGGCCAGGCTGTGGGGCCCAGTGATCTCAACAGGAACCGAGGTGTCCTGTGAACGTGTGCTGCTGTAGACAGTGAACACCTACAGTCGATTCACCTAAAGATCATCCTTGAGAACGTGTGGGCCTTATCCAATCAGCTGAAAGTCTTCAGAGCAAAAACTGATGTTTCCTAGAGAAGGAATTCTGCCTCAGAGGGAGGTGTCCACGCCCGCTGTATGTCCAGCCTGTGGCCCCACGGCTGGGTGAGCCTGTCCTCTTTCCCTGTTTCTGTCTCCTACTGATTCAGTCTCTGGACTCACTGTGTGGCCCCAGACCCTCCAGTGAGGACCGCCCGTGTTTCTTCAGAGCAGCCCTTGTATGCTGCAGACCAGGCTTCAGCTTGTCCCTGGGAGCCCTGGGGCATGTTCTGTGACCTCCCAGCTCCTCGCCTCATGGGGCATGATTCCTGTGTGTGCTGCGTACTACGCCTGGCACTGTTTGGCAGGTTGCAGGGAGGCCATGCTCGCCCCACGAGTGCAGCCTAAGATGTGGAAACTGGAAACTGTTCTAGCGGATGGGAACTTGACGCTATTTCTGGATGAATGACAAGGCTCCTCGATGCCACTGCTTCTCGGCCTTGGCTGCACGACGGAATCCCCTGCGGAGGTTTTGAAAACACTGGTACTCGCTGCAGGCAGTGGCAGCTGCTTCAGAGACTGAGGTGGAGGATTGCTAGAGGCCAGAAGTTTTGGTTTGTTTTTTGAGACCGAGTCTTGCTCTGTTGCACAGGCTGGAGTGTAGTCCCGTGATCTGGGTTCCCTACCTCAGCCTCCCGAGTAGCTGGGATTACAGGCTTGGGCCACCACACCTGGTTGATTTTTGTACAGTAGAGATGGGGTTTCACTGTGATGGTTAAGCTGGTCTCAATCTCCTGACCTCAAGTGATCCGCCTGCCTCGGCCTCCCGAAGTGCTGGGATTACCGGTGTGAGCCACTGTGCCCACTGAGCCGTTTTTAATCCAGCGTGGGCAACAGCAAGACCTGTCTCAAAACGAACAAAAAAACTCTGGTGCCTGAGGCCCACCCCCAGCTGATTTGGATGTGAATTATCTTTAACATTTTGGATGTGAATTATCTGCCAGGCACGGGGGCGCACACCTGCAATTCCAGCACTTTGGGAGGCCAAGGCGGGCGGATCACAAAGTCAGGAGTTCAAGACCAGCCTGGCCAACATGGTGAAACCTGGTGTCTGCCAAAAATACAAAAATTGGCCAGGTGTGATGGCAGGTGCCTATAACCCCAGCTAATTGGGATGCGGACGCAGGAGAATCGCTTGAACCCAGGAGGTGGAGGTTGCAGTGAGCCTAGACCGTGCCACTGCACTCCAGCCTAGGTGACAGAGCAAGACTCTCAAAACAAACAACAACAGAGACCTCTAATATGGGCCAAGGTTGAGAACCCCTTCTCTGGGCCCCATCCAAGCACCAGGTTGTCACAAACGCACACACGCACTCACACCTGTGGGCTTGGAGGGCTTCGGAAACGTGCTTGTTTTTTTTGAGACGGGGTCTCGCTCTGTTGCCCATCCTGGAGTGCAGTAGCTCGATCATAGCTCACTGCAGCCTTGACCACCTGGGCTCAGGTGATGGTGCCTCAGCCTCCCAAGTGGCTGCTTCTGGTTTTCATGACGACCTGGGGGCCAGGCACTCTACACTTGCTGCTGTTCGGGGCCAGCCCTGCACTGGGAAGGCCCGTCAGCCATAGCTCCTCCAAGCAGCACCGATGTGCAGAGCTAGGCAGCTTTGTTTCCATCTGGATCCTGCGCAGGTTTTCTTGGTCCATCCGTAGATACTGCACTCCTGCACCGGATCTTCGTGGGATGACCCACTGCCTCCGTTGGGCTCACCATGACGCCTCTTGGTCTGTTGGCTTCTCCTCCCACATTTGAACAATCTTCTCTGCATACCACACTGCTAGCCACTGGACACCCTGCTTTCGACCTTTACCGTTTTGTCATGGTATTGCCAAGTTAGTTAAAAAACAAAAAGGAGGCTGGGCACAGTGGCTCATACCTGTATTCTCATAAGTCTGAGACCAGCCTGGGCAACATGGCGAGACCCCATCTCTACAAAAAAAAAAAAATGAAATGCGCTGGGTGGGTGGCTCATGCATGCCCGTGGTCCCAGCCACTTGGGAGGCTGAGGTGGGAAGCTTGCTTGAGGTCAAGGCTGCAGTGAGCTGGTATTACATCACTGCACTCCAGCCTGGGAGACAGAGACTGTATGAACAAACAAAAATACAAACCACAAAGGGCTACTCTGAACCTGTCATTAAAAAAATAAATTAAAAAAAAAAAATCCACGGATACAAGTGAAGAATCTGTCATTTTCCTCAAACCTGCTTTTCACCCATGGTGGAAATGCTGCTCCAGGGCCACGAGGTCTTTGCATGGGCTCCCCACATGGGGCCTTGGCTTACACTGTGCTCCCCACCTGTCCCCCGAGTTCCCAGTCTGTCAAAATCCAACCTGGTCTCCCAGGCCCAGGGCAAATGCCACGTCCTCCATGGAGCCTGCCACATCCTTTGCACACTCTCGGGCACTGACCTTGTTCCCTCAGCACACATGCATGGGTACAGCTTGCCCCTGTAGCCTCTCAGGCACAAAATGAACTCTTGCAGAGGGTCCGGAGCGCAGAGCAAAGGGTTGCTGCTTCCAGGTTCAAGTGCATTTGAGTTTCATTCCCAGAATCCTTTTTCTGGTCTTTAATATTCTTCTCTGGATTAGGTCCCACTCATTGCTTTCCTTTTCAATTTCCAAGAGGTTGCTCAGAGCCAGCAGTACCTGCCTTCCCCGTTGCGGGGGTCAGCCTGGGGCGGGGTGGGGGGGGTCTCCCCCTTTTGATGGAGTTGACCCACAATGGGCAGGTCCACCTTTGACCTTGCTCTCTGAAGTGGAAACAGAAAAAGAGACTTGCTTGGTTTGAGGGGCCACCGGGGTGCTTGATCTCTCTTCAGAGGCCTGTAACACCAATGCCACACCGGTGGCACTGACTGGCCACCCTGAAGGCCACGACCAGTGTCCTAGGAAGGGACTCCAGCTGTGCCACTGAGATTTTGGGGTTAGGCTGCTGCTGCCTCACCCAGCACCGACGTTCCACTGTGCTCATACAAAAATGAATGCGTAAGATGTCTAGGAAACACAAAAAACCCTCATGACTCTTCTCTCCAAAGACTTTTTTTCAAGCTCAAAGTGGACCCTAGGCAAAAGTGAGCGGCACTCCTTTGCCAGGACTCTAGGCGGGCCCCAGCCTCCTCTTGCTGCCATCCCAGACAACAGCAGTTACCAGATGAACTGACTCGGATGGGCTGTGTGGCTAGAGAGCTAGAAAGCTTGGTTGTGCCTCTCAACAATTATTAGTAAAATTTCAATATTTACAGCAAACTCACAAAGCAAATGACAGAATAAAGCAAAACAACTGGAAGTCTACGTTTCCCTCATGAGACGGAGACATGTGTGGACTCTGAGAATATGATGGCAGGCCAGCTCTCCCAGCTGCAGCGTGCAGAGTGCACATCCACAGTGTCCATTTTGCAAGATGAAACACACGTTACTTTGAACAGCCAAGAAAAAAAATTGCAATTTATTAAGATTCAATAAAGCGTTGTACTTTTGAAAGCAAATTTCGATGCATGTTCTTCAACAATCACATTCTATGAGAAAAACGTTAAGAGCCACAAACTTGTTTTTTAATCTCAGAGTTACAATTAAATCCAAAATAAAAGGTCCAAAAAAACCCCAAAAAACCTCAAACCCCCAAAACAAACTAACATATTGTTGACTTTCATCCCCAATTTTAAAACATCAGAAGTTCTTCTACAGCTCAGTGCTCACTGGCAGCACGGGAAGTGGTATGTCGGGCACGCACACGCACGCTCACACGCACATATATTGGATATACATACGCAGGTGTATGTCCATCGAATATATAGAATGCATGTAATGGCAATGAGATGCAGTCACTGAGGGAGGTTGGTTTTGCTAAATACCCTACTAAACTTGAGAAAAAAAGTCTTGAACCCAGTTTGTGCATAGTTCATGATCCTCTATAAAACCAGCTTTTGTTGATCTGCAACCTTGCAGGACCTTTTTTTTTGTATATATTTTTGTTTTGATAAAACCATTAAAAAGCTAATTAAAAAAAATGTAATGCACAAGTTTCCTGATCAAGCAGGCAGGGAGCACAATGTTCATATATATATATTTTAAAACATACTTGAGGGTATGTTATTCCATTGTCTTTCTTCCTTGCAAAACAATCAAAACATTGATCATTCTTAAAACATAAAGCAATTTTTAATATATAAAGCACTCTTCAAACATCTATTTCTTTTGAGTCCATTATTTGGTAAATATGTAACTGCTACACATTAGAGATTAGGTATTTTTCTTCTTTTTCTGTTTTTTTTTTTGTTTTTCTTTTTTTTTTTCATTTTTTCATTTTTTTTTTTTTTTTTTTAAATAACATCTTCAGTGCTAGGAGTTGGGTTTAAAAATACATGAAATGGTGTGGAGCTGCCCTCGGGAGCCCTGGCTTTCCTGAGAGCGCGTCCGGCATGTGCAAGACAGTTGCCACAACGCCTGTCACCTTGACGAAGGGGCGAAAGCAATCGACAGAGCCCACGACGATGGCCGAGGGAACAACACTGTCCCGTCCCAGAGCTCTGAAGGAGCATATCTGCATTCTGAAAATAGGTTTCTTTACGACGGAAGTCTTTTTTTTTTTTTTTTTTTAATTCCTTTTTAAATTTTTAAAATTTTAAAGTCTGAAGGAGAAAAAAAGGTCTGTAAACAGGTGGGAGCCCAAACCCCAGGCTCCCCCAAAAGCAGTCACAACCCATGTCCAAGTGCTTGTTTCTGTTCCTGCCGCGGAACCATCCGTTCTTTACAAGTATCTATGGCCACAGTTCAACAACAGTTTTTTTCTCTTTAACTTTATATTCCAAATGGAAAAATGGTGCAATACTCTGGTAATAATTTTCTTGCATTAGTCCACAATAAAAAGCTGCTAAAGGTAGGTATACATATTATTTCTCCAGAGATATACACTGTACTTTTAAAACGCAGTCACAGAGTCCTTGAGTAAACATTTACACTTGAATTGTCGCCGGCCCTGTCCTGGGAATTCTCTGTGATGTATAGGGTTAGCTAAAGGAAGGGCGAGGACACTCAGTGCAAAGTTAGAAGCTAATAGTAACAAACGTTTGACCAATGCGCCAAAAAAAAGCATATATTGAATACAAGGGAAACCCACAGTTAAATCCTCACACGCTTTCAAACACACGGACACAGAGATCTGCGCGCTGTGAGAATCACGCACCACACACGCACACACACACGTTTCAACACGCACACATACACACTCACGTAGGCTATGAACTTAGAAATTTTTCCTAGAGCCTGTTCTGTGTACTGGTGTCAACCTGGAAGTGTAGAATTAGAAAGTGTTCACATTTCACTATTGGCCTGCTGGATTCAAGTATTTGTATGTTTGATATGTCTTTTTTTTTAACTTTTAAAAAATATTTTTTGGGATAAAAAAAATGACATGAAAAAGTAATGAAACAAGGGTAATGTGCATAGGCGGATCCAGGGGAACAGAGAGCAGATCGCAGCCTGCGCCTTCCACTCAGCTCCCGTGCGGAGCCGCTCTGCGCCCAGCGGTCCACACCAGACTCTGCCCTGATTACCGGCCGCCTCTGGTAATGTGCATAATCGTCACAGGCTCATTTTAAATAGGCTTCACGTCTCCCTCCCTCCCCCAC